TTTGTTACTCTAAAGCCCACGCATCTTCTTTATTTTTTATAAAGTAAAATGCTGTGATAATCATTTTTCACTCTTCCTTTCCATGGGCATTGTTTTCAAATATCCTTTCACGGGCAACCCGTAACATCATTCCTTTCTCTTTGATTCTCTCATTCAATTGAAGCATCTTGCCTTGCTTGTTTTGACAAAACGGAAAAGGAAGTGGAACGCTGTACACGTTTTCCAAAGAAGATTAACTGTGACCTTAATACCACAGTTACGAGATGCGAACAACTCAAGGCTTCTCTAATAAAGCACTGCAGCAGCGAAGGATGTCAAGGTACCAAGGTCTTTAAAACTCTGAATATAATTCTACACCAATCAGCCAACAAAAAGCGTCATATTGAGAATAAAACGAGTAAAGAATAACAACACATATATCATCTCAAATTCTCCTAGGTTGCAAAGATGCCCACTGCCGCAATGGAGGCAGGTGTGCTGGACCTAAAGTTCCTTGGTGCGCATGCCCATCAGGCTATACCGGAGCCTTTTGTCATATAAGTGAGTTGTGTTTTTCTCATCCAGTATGCGAATAAAAATAAGATTTAAAGAATAGCGAGGGTCAAAACAACGCACACTACAGGCTGCTTTGGCAGTGGCATATGTATCACCGAGTACCTGAAAATCGAGATGCGATGTTCCTTGAATTTGTCGCTGCCATCTCCTTCCATACATTGAAAAAGAAGGCTTTGCAAAGTCTTAACTAATCTCATTTTCCTTTCAAGGTAAATGTACAGAAAAGCCGTGTGAAAACGGTGGTACGTGCATTGGCGAAAACCTTTGCAAGTGCCCACCTCGATTCTCTGGCCCTCAGTGCAAGGCGAGAAAGAGACTGGGAACCAAAGACAATCCAGCACCAAACGCACAAGCAATTCTAGACGCCGGTGATAGTCATGGAAGCGGAATGTACTGGATTCAGCCCCCTGGTGAGACAGCCCCAGCTCAAACTTACTGTGACATGACCTTCGCTGGCGGAGCCTGGATGTTAGCTAGTTACGGTTACGTTCACTCAACGTCATTAAATGCCAACAATAAGGCCATACC